CAGTTAGATTGGATTCTTTTTAAGGGCTACATAGTATTGCCTTACTCAGAAGTCCCCCATCCATGGACACTTAGGTGGCTTCCAGTCTTTGCCTGTTACAATCAATGGTGCAAAGAATAACCTACATCCCTCATCTTGATTACATGGGAATATCTCTGGGGGTAAATTCCTCTTGTGGAATTGCTGAGTCAAATGGGCAAGCTTTGCAATTTTGATAAATGTTGCCAAATTGCCCTCCAGGGAGTTTGTAACCCCTCCCAGCACCATAAGGCAGATTAATCGTTAGCAAACTTGATCTGATACGTTTCCTTGAAAAAAACATGTCTGGTCACACTTGTGACTATCAAGGGGTCGGTCTGGGTTTTGAACCTTCTCCCTGAGTGAGATGGACATATTGTGATTCCTCCCATACGTTCAGGGAGCAGGTCATTGTTACTCTGCTCTTTGCCGGGGAAAAGGGAAAAAATGAGAGATCACCCACATCTCTAACTTCAAGCCAAGTCTGATGGCATGTCACCAAGCCCGTGATGTGGGAGAAAAATCTGTTTTGTCTCCTAGGTTACTGGCTCTTTTGATTGACCATGTTTACTACATATGAATACTTATTTATAGAATTGTGCAAAAATAGTCCAATCTAGTTGACTGGCTAAGAAACCCGAGTCAAAAGGCTCATATCTCAGTAGTAGTTCTTCCAGTTCTTGCTGTTTAAGGGCTGTAAGGAGCTCAACAAAAATGCCCATTAAAGGCCTGGGATCTGCTAAAGGAGAACTGAAGCCGTGGGCCCAGCTCCGACTGGTTGGCCCTTGGCTGTGTGTCCCTGGGCCATGACTCAGCCTCTCTGAGTCCCAGTCCCTGCCCATAGAATGCAGTGATGAGTGGAGAATGATAATCACATGATGACTGTCTCCTGAATCACTTGAGGCTTCTAACAGGTTATGCATGTAGAAGCCTTTAGAACCTTAAAAGCATGCAAATATTGGCTGTATATGTTTCCTTTACATATGTTTTTATTGATTTTTTAAATAGAGAGGAAGGGAGAGAGAGAAACATTTATTAGAGAGAAACATAGATCGGCTGCTTCCTGTACGCCCCCTAGTGGAGATCAAGCCCAAAACCAGGCATGTGCCCTGACTGGGAATTGAACTGGTTCATGGGACGATCGATGCTCAATTCACTGAGTTACACTGGCCGGGCTGCATATGTTTTCTATATGTGAAAAGCAGTATTAGCTAATACATGAGTTTGTACAAGCCACTATGACTTGACTACTACTAATGATAACTAACGTGTGTGAAGCTCTTACTCGGTGCCAAAACTCTGAGAACAACTTTTAGTCCGTGATCTCCTTTAATCTTTACAACCCTATGAAGCAAGTGTCATTACTGTTTCCATTTTATATGAGGAAGCTGAGGCACAGAGAGATTGAGTTTTTTATTCCAGATCATATGGCCTAAGAGGGGCAGAGCCGGGACTCAAGCGCAGCTGCAGACCCCAGAGCTATGCTCTTAACCAGAGCTTAATGCTGCCGCTGCCACCAATTCATCAACTTAAGACCCTGAAATTGGGGTTGTCTTCCCCAAAGTGAAGGTGGGTCACTCTAAAATATCCTCATTGTCTTCCTGGGATCAGTAGCTCTGTTCTTCCTTCTCTCTTTGGGGTTGGGCCTGGCCAGATGGGCTGTGTGGCAGGGTGGGAGGCAGGAGAGGGGGTGTCCTGACAGACAAATGGAGTCAGATAACACGGCTACACAGAGAGGCCGGGGCAGCGTGAGCTGGAGCCGGTTCCTAACAGTGTACAAGAGCTGATGGTTAAATTTTCAGGAATTTTGTAAGCCAGTTGTTAAACACAGCCATTATTAAAAATTAAATCATATCAACTCACAATTAAATAAGTTATATTAAAAAAATGGTACCTGGCTGGTGTGGCTCAGTGGTTGAGCATCAACCCAGGAACCAAGAGGTCGCCAGTTCGATTCCCAGTCAAGGCACATGCCCGGGTTGTTGGCTTGATCCCTGGTGGGGGCCGTGCAGGAGGCAGCCAATGGATGACTTCCTCTCTCATCGATGTTTCTATCTCTCTATCCCTCTCTCTCTCAAAATCAATTGGAGCTGGTTCCTAACAGTGTACAAGAGCTGACGGTTAAATTTTCAGGAATTTTGTAAGCCAGTTGTTAAACACAGCCATTATAAAAATTAAATCATATCAACTCACAATAAGTTATATTAAAAAAATGGTGCCTGGCTGGTGTGGCTCAGTGGTTGAGCGGCAACCCAGGAACCAAGAGGTCGCCAGTTCGATTCCCAGTCAAGGCACATGCCCGGGTTGTTGGCTTGATCCCTGGTGGGGGCCGTGCAGGAGGCAGCCAATGGATGACTTCCTCTCTCATCGATGTTTCTATCTCTCTATCCCTCTCTCTCTCAAAATCAATAAAAATATATTTCAAAAATGGTAATAAATACTCAAAACACATTACCTGCTAATTATTTACATTTTATCATTATCTGTGCAACTGAGGTTTATCTACATTTATGGTACCTGTGTGGTGGGAGTCAATGGTGTGTTCCTGCCCAACTCTTCCCAACTCATTCACATCATGTTATTAGTTTGAAATAAGGGTGAGAGTATTGACACCATGGAAATTGGCAAACTCCACAAATCAGAGATTGAATTACTATTTTATGGACTGTCTAGATTTTAAAAAGGGATGCATAAAATATTAATAGTGCAGATTAAACTTAAAAGTGGGTCCTGTCGGTAGCTGTTGCATTGGGAATAGCACAAAAATCAGCAAGAATATTTTTCCAATATTTGAAAACTATTATCTGATTCATAAAGAAGTTACATTATTGCCCAGCTGGTGTGGATCAGTGGTTGAGCATCTACCTATGAACCAGGAGGTTGCGGTTTGATCCCCAGTCGGGCACATGCCTGGGTTGCGGGCTTGATCCCCAGTGGGGGGTGTACAGGAGGCAGCTGATCAATGGTTCTCTCTCATTGATGTTTCTATCTCTCTCTCCTTCTTCCTTCCTATAAAAAAAAAAAAGTTTCATCATTGACAAATGAACTCATTAAGGTTAATGAAAATATCAACCAAAATTCACATCAGAGCTATCCTCATTCATCATTGTTGTAAGTGACTTTTTGTATAATCAGATATTAATAATCAAACATTTTCTGTAGTCTGATTTTATGATACTATTGCTGATGATATAACTATAAAAACAGTTGGCGGGGTTTGCAAGAAATAGCAAGCCACATTGAAGTTACAGGTGTAAATGGGAAAGCAAAGCATTTTATCTTAAAATGTATGTTATTACTAAAATTAGATAAATAAAACATCAACCAAAAGTCTTTGCCACCTTTAAGTGGTATTGTGAATTTGATTGGCATGTAAATACATATGCTTACATTGCCCCCCACCCCCACCCCCTGAGAGCAGTTGTGAAAGGTTGCCAGGACACCATGGGTGAGAGCCGGGCATGAGTGGAGGCCAAGCTCCATGGAGGGCATGTTTCAAAGCCCTGATGGGCGGGTGTGGGCTAGAGCTGCTGGCCAAGGCTATAGCCACAGAACCCATATGATCTGTCCCTCCTCTCAGCCCAGACAATGAGTGGCTTGTCTTCAGTGGTACGTACTGGTGTCTGGAGGGTTGAATCCCTATGTCTTAGTGCCACTAGCAAGATGCTGTACCCAACTGTTTCCCAAACATTCCTGGGCAACCAGCATAGTTTTTCATACATCTGAATGCTAATTAAACTGTTTTTATTTTAACCAATTCACTTTTTTTTCCAATTTACTTTTTCTTTTAATTTTTATTTATGGATTTGAGAGCGAGAAAGAGGAAGGGGTGGGGGAAGAGAGAAAAAGAAAGAGAGAGAGAGAAACATCGATTTGTTGTGTGGACGAAAGGGGCCACACGCTGACCTGACAAGCTCACGGGGATCAAACCCACAACAGCCTTGGAGTATTGGGATGACACTCTAACCAACGGAGCTACCTGGCCAGGGCTTCACTTTTTCTTTGTAAATAAACGTGTATAACATGGAAATTGTAAATCTGTTCTCAAATTTTAATGTGCATCAGCACCATCTGGGGGTTCTTGTAAAATCCAAGTCCCGATGCTGGAGACCCTGAGGGGCCCAGGAATCTGCACGTAAAACTGCCATGTGATGCCTGGTCCATGGAAGCAAATGTCTAGATCACCACAGAAACCGACAGAACTGCTTTACTTGCCATACATAGACGGTAACTGAAACAGTTCATCATCTTAAAACAAATCACCTGGAGGGGTGGGTAGGGGCTGGGAGGAGGGAGAGGGGAGAGGGGGATGGGAGATATCTGTAATACTATCAGCAATAAAAAATATATTTAAAAGTGAAAAAAAACACCCAAACAACAACAACAACAACAACAAAACCCCACCCAAATCAATATTATTTCATTCTAGCAAATACTGCCTGCCAAGCAGCTGAATCCCAGAGCCTGCTTTCTCTTTGTTGAGAGGCGAGATTAACAATATATGAGAAGTGTTAATAACCCACCGGCACCAAAGGACACTTCCTTATACAGTTTACTTAAGATTGAAAGAGAAAAGAAATTAATTTGATCACTATGGATGTCAGTGCCATTTTATATCATGCCTCCTACTTTCTGAAACCCACTTCCCACATCCTCGCCCTTCATCTGGGAACAGTTAAGCGCTTGAACTCACCTAGAAGTATTACATGTCCTTCTCCAGTGGCTTTTTAGATTTATGCTTTCTAGTTATTGCAATAACTCTATTTCTATTTCCATTTCAACCCAGTGCCTCCGGATTTCTCCTTGCAGATCACACAGTAGTCTACCACATAGTAGACCCCGAGGCTAGGAAGGCAGGGCTGTTTTGTTGCTCGGTGCAGTTGCCAGGATGTGTGATGAGATTCAAATATGTTGGTCCCCAGGCCTTCAAACCAGCTTGAAACCTTGGCCCCACCGCGCAGGAGCTGGACTGCCCGTGGTTGCACTCCGTCTATATTTCTGGGGGTAGGAGAGCATGTGGACATTTTGAAATATGGGAAAAAACTTCAAATTAAAAAAATGTTAATTACATTTTCATGTCGCTGCCTGTGAAGGATGGATGCGAGAGAAGAAAGGCAGCATGCTTTCGAGTGAGTCAGAACGGAGCAGGTGAGAGTCTCCAAATGGAGGGGAAAAAGCCATCCCCAAACCCAACCCACCTTTCGGAGTAGCACTGCCATTTCCCAAAACGTCCTTGGCAATGACCTGGAGGCGGAAGAAATGCCACTGTGCAGTGTGAGGGGAGGGGGGAGCTTGGAGGAGGCAGAGTGGAGAGGCTCGAGGCAGGTGTGTGCTCAGCAGCACGTACACAGGCTGCACGGGCAGGGGCTGAAACGTGTGTGTCCTGCCTTGCCCTGAGCAGGCACTGCGCGGGGTTCAGAAGCTCTCTGGGTTTTGTAACGGTGAAACACAGCCACGCTCCGCTGCAGAGCACAACTGACAGCTTTGTTCTAAGTGTCTTGGCCTCCCAGGATCATAGTAACCTTGTTATATTCATTGTCCTGGAGAAAGACAAGGCAATGGAGCCCTGGGGGTACCGGGTTCCCAGTCTAGTATCACAGAGCACCAGTATCCCTCGGGGAAGGCACAGGGCCTTGGTTTGGAAAGATCCTCACAGAGCCCGGCATAGGCATGTAGCCCCTCGGACATTCTACAAGATGTCACTGCTTGTTCTTTTATTCTTTTAAACCTCAACTGAGGACATGGAGAGAGAGAGAGAGAGAGAGAGAGAGAGAGATTGGTTGCCTCCCCCATGCATCTGAGCAAGCAGGGCCCGTAATCAAACCCATGACCCTTTGGTGCACTGACCATTGAGCCAGACAGGGCACGTTTGTTCATTAAGAAAACGAATCATTGTTCCCCACTCCACGCAATCTGTGTAGGCCAGCCTGGCAGTGAGGGTGTCAGTTCAGGGAGGGGCTATATAGTGAATCTGACAGATTCAGTGACTGGAAAGTAGCCTTGCGGGATGATTTGATCATAAATTCCTAACTGAGCAGGTCACGGTGGTAGTCACACCCCAGGCATATAACTCCCTTAATAAAAGGTTTGTCTTTGTTTGTCTGAGCCCTGTCCATTGTTCTTGCTCATCTAGGTTAACAGCCCTTTGAGATGCCAAAGGAATCCTCTTTTCCAGACCCCCTCGGGGACACATGATCTTGTTGCATCCTTATACACCTTCACTATTTGCAGTACATGTTAACGATCATTATTTTAAATGCTACATCCATTCCATGTTATTCCATTTGATGACGGCTGTAAAAACCCTTTCTTAACAAAGGTTACAGAGGCAGCCTGAGGTAATGTAAAAGAAGTACTATGTATCTCTCCATTTTTCTTTTTATCGAATCATAGAGATTTCCCCACCTTGCCTTCTCCAGCCTCCTTAATCTACCATCAGTGGATTTCATGGAATCCTCCTTATTTCCCTTCTTTGGTTCAAATGCATAAAAAGAACGGCAACACTGCCATTCCCATAGCATTTCCTCAGTCCATTGAGATCTTGCTTTTGGGGAGGTCCTCAGTTTGGCTCAAATAAACTCATACATTTTTTTTTTCCTATAGGCTTGGACATTCTTATGTCAACAGTAAGAAAGCATGGTTTGAATCATAGCTCGGCAACTTGGGTCAGTTATTTAACCTCCCTGTGCCTCAGTTCCTTCCTCTATAAAATGGGTAAAATCAAAATCCTATGTCACATTGAGAAGATTATATGAGGAAACACCTATCAAGGACTTAGCTCACGGCCTGGCACCTGGAAAGTGCTCACTCCATGCTTTGCCGACACTGCTTTCACCGCACATCCCTTCCTGCCTTGTGGAAGGTGGTCTTTCTCTCCATTGCCTCCTGCCTACACCCCAGCCAACCTCCACATTAGATTGTGAGTACCCTCTGTGCAGGGACAACTTCTCAGTCACCCCTCTATCCTCTCTGACGTGGCTTTTTATACCCAGCACATGCTCGACTACACTTACTGAAGGTCTACGACATGTGCCAGGCACATGCTGGAGACCAAAGAAGAGGAAGATGCCCAGCCAGTGTGGTTCAGTGGTTGAGCATTGACCTATGAACCAGGAGGTCACGGTTTGATTACCGGCCAGGGCACATGCCCAGGTTGTGGGCTCGATCCCCAGTGTGGGGTGTGCAGGAGGCAGCCGATTGATGATTCTCTTTCATCATTGATGTTTCTATCTCTCCCTCTCCCTTCCTCTCTGAAATATATATATATTTTAAAAAAAGAAGAATAGAACCACCATATCTTCTAGCTATTTTACTTCGGGGTATTTATCTAAAGAATATGAAAACACTAATTCGAAAGGATATGTGCACCCTCATGTTCACGACAGCATTATTTACAATAGCCAAGATAAGGAAGCAGCCTAAGTGTCTATCTGTGGGTGAATCGATATAGAATGGAATATGAATCAGCCATCGGAAAGAACAAATTCTCGCCATTTGCAACAACATGGATAGACCTCGAGGGCATGATGCTAAGTGAAATAAGCCAGATGGAGAAAGACAAATACCATATGATTTCACTTATATGTAAAAATCTAAAAAAATAACCTCCAAAAAAACCAAACAAATAAAACCGATCTCATAGACACAGAAAACAGGTGGTTGGTTAACAGAAGGGGAGAGGGTTTAGGGGGTGGATGATGTGAGCGAAAGGGTCAACTGTGTGGTGATGGATAGTAACTGGACTTTTGGTGGTGATCACTGTGTACAGATATAGAATTATAATATTGACTATACAGCTGAAACTTATGTAATGTTATAAACCAATTTTATCTCAAGTAAAAAAATAAAAGGACTTGTCAGATAAGTGGTAGGAAGTGCTGATGGCATCCACCTTTACCCCTCAGGCCTTATCATGTTAGTTCTCCCGGCTTCCTTTTGCTGCCGGTTCTGCACTTCTGCCTGAGCGCTTTCTCCAAAGACGGAAGGGTCCCTCTGCTAGCACATGGCAGAGGCCTGATGGAGCTGGTGCTAGTACCCCACTTCCTTGCCTTCCCCTCTCCTGTATTCTGTTCTGCTCCCCAGAACCCCCGTGGGGTACGTTCCAGGCTCCCACAGTGGTAGCTGGTTGGATAACATACTCTTTGTCGAGTCCCTTCTCTGCTCCTTCTTCTCCTGGTATCTTGGTACTCTCTCCCCCTCCCCCAAAGTCCCAAGTAAACTACCTCCACTTCTCCACTTCAATATTTGTCTCAGGATCCGTTTCTGGGGGAACCTAAACAAAGATACATTCATCATGTCCATGAATGTTCAGCCTCCCGGCTGTAAGGGAATTAAATACACGTTTGTCTTCTCTCTGCAAAAGGTTTCAAAAGCCGGGCGCGCTAAGCCATTTCACATTTACGCTTTGCGGCCAAGACACGGACAAGAGGTGCTCAGGATGGGCAGATGTCAGCCCCCAGGGCCTGCCTGCAGCTGACAAAACTATTGACTGGAGGACTTCTGGCTGTCAGTTCTGATCTCTGTTGACGGCCAGAGGAATTCGCTCCTTCTGCAAATATTTTCAGAGCTCGGCCTCTCTGCCAGAGGCCCAGGCAGCATCGGCCGAACGTACACAAGTGCTGTGTGTGTTCTCTGAGATGTGGCTTTCAGACGACTCCATAAAAAAGACGCGAATGAGTCCGTTCAGAATGAATGTTTGAATTACTGTTGGGCTGGTGATGATTCTCAAGAGGGTGAGGGGTGGACAGTAATGACCAAGTTTTTTCTTTTTCTTTTTCACACTAGGCAGGATACACTCCTGTTCATTACAACGCCCCTCCCCCGTTTCGCAAAGAAATAAACACTCCACTGCGTGTGCACCCAGGAGCGTTGGGACAGAAGCAAGGCTGCAAACTGCTGGGCCACCGAGATTTAGCTTTGGGGCCAGAGCCAGGGAGAAACAACAGCCCCTGGCAGAGACAAGGTCCCTGGACAGAGCCACCGGGAGAACTAAATGAAGCCACACCCACCCACCCAGCGAGTGCCCGCTGCCCGCCCTGGGCCTCCGTCTCCCCACCTCTAAGGTGAGGGGGTGGAAATAGATGGCTTCTAGGGTCATTCATGATAAATATTCAGGACTCTCCTAAAGAAGAAGGAATGGACCCAAATCGAATCTACGGTTGGGTTTTGCTTTCCCTCTGAGTTGTTCACCTCTCACCAGGTTGGGTGGGGCTGCATTTTGTGGGGTTACCAGGCACTATTTGCCTGATAAAAGTGTTTGCTGTGACCTGGTCAAGGAACTAAAGGTTAGAAAGAGGAGAAGCTGTTGAAGGGGGGTTGGGGGGGGCAGCGGGGAAATGGAAGGTGTTTTCTGGGCTGGAGAACATTAAAGGCTCCAGAATTGGTGAAGACCCAGCTGGGAATGTTCCTATTGGTCCTTGGGGCAGGGGAATGAAGGGGGCAGGAGAGGACAGAAAGTGAAAGGTCCTCCTGGTTTTCTTTTGGAGGGTTTTATATATCTCATGGTTCTCAACCCTGGCCGTGCATTAAATCACCCAGCTTACAGAACTACAAAGCCCTGGCTGGGTAGCTCAGCTGGTTGGAGCATCATCGCAAAGCACCAAGGTTGCAGGTTCGATCTCTGGTCTAGGTACACACAGGAATCCACTAGTGAATGCATGCCTGGGTGGAACAACAAATTGCTCTCTCTTTTCCTCCCTCTCTCCTACCTCTGAGAGAGAGAGAGAGAGAGAGAGAGAGAACCCGGCTGGTGTATGTGGCTCAGTGGTTGAGTGTTGACTCATGAACTAGGAGGTCAGGGTTCTATTCCAGGTCAGGACACATGCCCAGGTTTCAGGCTCGATTCCTAGTAGGGGGCGCGCAGGAGGCAGCCAATCAATGATTCTCTCCCATCATTGATGTTTCTTTCTCTCTATCCCTCTCCCTTCCTCTTTCTGAAATCAATAAAAAAAGGGGGGGAGGGAGGGAGAGAGAGAGAGAGAGAGAGAGAGAGAGAGAGAGCCAAAAAGTCCCTCTCCTCCTTCTGATTTACTTGGTCCTGTATGGGGCCTGGGCGCGGGCCCTTTTGAAAATGCTGACATAGTTCTGTGCAGCCAGGGTTGAGAAGCGCTCCATGGCAACCCAGGACGCAGGAGCAGCCCCCTCGCCTTGCCTCACGTGGCTGCCTTAGTTCTCACACTTCCTTCACGCTGTCCTCCCTCTTCTGCCCTTCCCATCCTCTGCCTCAAAATCCCAGTCATCCATGGGTAGGGGATGGAGAAGGAAGAAACCCTGTGCATTCTATTTCTGGTCAATGCCTTTATTATTTACGAAGTTTAATAAAAATCATTTTCTTCCCTGAATAGAATTCATACGACTTAAGAAAAACTCAAGAAATACTCAAAAGCAAGAAAAACGTTTCAAAGTGTTCGACAGGCCCCTCACTTAAAGACAACCACCACTAGCACCATGAATGCTGTGGTGTTTTCTTTCTAATCTTTCCGTGATGCCTAGTTTCTCTGTTTGAATGCTTTACCCTACTGTATACACCAGGGTTGGCACTCTGTAGCCTGCAGGCCAAGTCCAGCCCACCTCCTGTTTCTGTAAATAAAGTTTTATTGGCACACAGCCATGCTCACTTGTGACTTATTGTCTCCAGCAGCTTTCACATCACAGTGGCAGAACTGAATATTGCGACAGAGGCCATTTGGCCCAGAAACCTAAATATCTACTGTCTTGTTCTTTGCAGAAAATGTTTTTGGCCCTGGAATGCACCACTCTGCACTCTCACGCTTATTGCATGCGTATTTCCCAGGTTGTTATAAATGCTTCACAAATATCACTTCCCATAACTGTCTGATATGTCATTGCACGGTTGGTCTTTATCGTATTATTAAACATTTATGTGTTATTTCCCCAAACGTTTTCATTCTTGTAATGAATGCATCAGTGAGTACACTTGGATGTACACTTTGCTTGTATTTTCAATGATATCTTTAGGACAGTGTCCAGATTATTCAACTGGTAGGTAGGGGCATTATAAGACTCTTGATTCATATCACCAAATTCCTTATGCAAATGGGTCATAGAAGTGCTTCCTGAAATATAGGTGAAAACCTCCTTCTCTACACACTCGCCAGCATTATTATTATTATTATTATTAGTCTTTCCCTACTAATGATTTGATAGATCTCTGACACATACTTACTCAGGATTGGATAACATCATGTTTTGGACTCTTTGAAAGTTATACTCCGTGCGGGCCACCGAGACTTAGCTTTGGGGGCAGAGCCAGGGAGAAATAACAGTCCCCGGCAGAGACAAGGTCCCTGGACCTAGAGCTGAGCCGGGAGAACTGAATGAAGCCACACCCACCCACCCAGCGAGTGCCCGCTGCCCACCCTGGGCCTCCGTCTCCCCACCTCTAAGGTGAGGGGGTGGAAATAGATGGCTTCTAGGGTCATTCATGATAAATATTCAGGACTCTCCTAAAGAAGAAGGAATGGACCCAAATCGAATCTACGGTTGGGTTTTGCTTTCCCTCTGAGTTGTTCACCTCTCACCAGGTTGGGTGGGGCTGCATTTTGTGGGGTTACCAGGCACTATTTGCCTGATAAAAGTGTTTGCTGTGACCTGGTCAAGGAACTAAAGGTTAGAAAGAGGAGAAGCTGTTGAAGGGGGGTTGGGGGGGGCAGCGGGGAAATGGAAGGTGTTTTCTGGGCTGGAGAACATTAAAGGCTCCAGAATTGGTGAAGACCCAGCTGGGAATGTTCCTATTGGTCCTTGGGGCAGGGGAATGAAGGGGGCAGGAGAGGACAGAAAGTGAAAGGTCCTCCTGGTTTTCTTTTGGAGGGTTTTATATATCTCATGGTTCTCAACCCTGGCCGTGCATTAAATCACCCAGCTTACAGAACTACAAAGCCCTGGCTGGGTAGCTCAGCTGGTTGGAGCATCATCGCAAAGCACCAAGGTTGCAGGTTCGATCTCTGGTCTAGGTACACACAGGAGCAACTAGTGAATGCATGCCTGGGTGGAACAACAAATTGCTCTCTCTTTTCCTCCCTCTCTCCTACCTCTGAGAGAGAGAGAGAGAGAGAGAGAGAGAACCCGGCTGGTGTATGTGGCTCAGTGGTTGAGTGTTGACCCATGAACTAGGAGGTCAGGGTTCTATTCCAGGTCAGGAAGAGAACCACAAAGTCCCTCTCCTCCTTCTGATTTACTTGGTCCTGGATGGGGCCTGGGCGCGGGCCCTTTTGAAAATGCTCTGACATAGTTCTGTGCAGCCAGGGTTGAGAAGTGCTCCATGGCAACCCAGGACGCAGGAGCAGCCCCCTCACCTTGCCTCATGTGGCTGCCTTAGTTCTCACACTTCCCTCACGCTGTCCTCCCTCTTCTGCCCTTTCCATCCTCTGCCTCAAAATCCCAGTCATCCATGGGTAGGGGATGGAGAAGGAAGAAACCCTGTGCATTCTATTTCTGGTCAATGCCTTTATTATTTACGAAGTTTAATAAAAATCATTTTCTTCCCTGAATAGAATTCATACGACTTAAGAAAAACTCAAGAAATACTCAAAAGCAAGAAAAACGTTTCAAAGTGTTCGACAGGCCCCTCACTCAAAGACAACCACCACTAGCACCATGAATGCTGTAGTGTTTTCTTTCTAATCTTTCTGTGATGCCCCAAAAAGTCCCTCTCCTCCTTCTGATTTACTTGGTCCTGTATGGGGCCTGGGCGCGGGCCCTTTTGAAAATGCTGACATAGTTCTGTGCAGCCAGGGTTGAGAAGCGCTCCATGGCAACCCAGGACGCAGGAGCAGCCCCCTCGCCTTGCCTCACGTGGCTGCCTTAGTTCTCACACTTCCTTCACGCTGTCCTCCCTCTTCTGCCCTTCCCATCCTCTGCCTCAAAATCCCAGTCATCCATGGGTAGGGGATGGAGAAGGAAGAAACCCTGTGCATTCTATTTCTGGTTAATGCCTTTATTATTTATGAAGTTTAATAAAAATCATTTTCTTCCCTGAATAGAATTCATACTACTTAAGAAAAACTCAAGAAATACTCAAAAGCAAGAAAAACGTTTCAAAGTGTTCGACAGGCCCCTCACTTAAAGACAACCACCACTAGCACCATGAATGCTGTGGTGTTTTCTTTCTAATCTTTCCGTGATGCCTAGTTTCTCTGTTTGAATGCTTTACCCTACTGTATACACCAGGGTTGGCACTCTGTAGCCTGCAGGCCAAGTCCAGCCCACCTCCTGTTTCTGTAAATAAAGTTTTATTGGCACACAGCCATGCTCACTTGTGACTTATTGTCTCCAGCAGCTTTCACATCACAGTGGCAGAACTGAATATTGCGACAGAGGCCATTTGGCCCAGAAACCTAAATATCTACTGTCTTGTTCTTTGCAGAAAATGTTTTTGGCCCTGGAATGCACCACTCTGCACTCTCACGCTTATTGCATGCGTATTTCCCAGGTTGTTATAAATGCTTCACAAATATCACTTCCCATAACTGTCTGATATGTCATTGCACGGTTGGTCTTTATCGTATTATTAAACATTTATGTGTTATTTCCCCAAACGTTTTCATTCTTGTAATGAATGCATCAGTGAGTACACTTGGATGTACACTTTGCTTGTATTTTCAATGATATCTTTAGGACAGTGTCCAGATTATTCAACTGGTAGGTAGGGGCATTATAAGACTCTTGATTCATATCACCAAATTCCTTATGCAAATGGGTCATAGAAGTGCTTCCTGAAATATAGGTGAAAACCTCCTTCTCTACACACTCGCCAGCATTATTATTATTATTATTATTAGTCTTTCCCTACTAATGATTTGATAGATCTCTGACACATACTTACTCAGGATTGGATAACATCATGTTTTGGACTCTTTGAAAGTTATACTCCGTGCTGGGAAAGGTAAGCAGGAATGTAAATGACAACTCCTGCCCCCCATGCCAATCCACAGGGAAGGCTAGAGGAAGAACAGTAGGGAAGTCAAATGAGAATCATGATTTATAGTCAGAAACGTAGGGAAATCTTTTAGAAAGCAAGGGGATGCTTTTGAAGAGCCTGGGCAGTGAGGAGAGGCTGTGGGCTATGACATCTTGTCCTTGTTTGGGAAAATTTTATTTCTCCCCTTTTTTCTTTTATCTCTTCACTAGAGGCCCGATGCACAAAATTCGTGTGGGGAGGGGTGAGTTTCCCTCAGCCCAGCCTGCGCCCTCTCACAATCCAGGACCCCTCACTCCGGACGTCATCCAGACCAGCGCCCAGGGGGACGTCCACTTGTTCCAGCTCAGACACTGCCAGCTGCTTACACAGCACTTTCACATCCTGGAAATGACAGCGCACACAGGTGAGTTCCGCGGGGGAAAGAAGGCCTGGCATTGCACTCAGCAGAAGCCCTGTGGGCAACACTTTTTTTTTCTTTTTAATATTTTTTTTTTTATTGATTTTAGAGAGAGAGGAAGGGAGTGCACCCAGGTGAGTTCCGCGGGGGAAAGAAGGCCTGGCATTGTACTCAGCAGAAGCCCTGTGGGCAATACTTTTTTTTTCTTTTTAATATTTTTTTTTAATTGATTTTAGAGAGAGAGCAAGGGAGAGGGAGAGAGATAGAGAAACATCAATGTGAGAGAGAGTCATTGATTGGCTGCCTCCGGATGCATTCTGACCAGGAATCAAGCCTGCAACTCGGGCATGTGCCCTGACTGGGAATGGAACCAGCGATCTTTCGGTGCACAGGGCGATGCTCAACCAACTGAGCCACACTGGCCAGGCTGTGGGCAACACTTTGCTTCTCATTCCGCTAAAGCCAAACGGGGTGCTTCACAGCCACTGGGGGAGCCCCTGCTCCTCTTCCCAGCACAGGGGCTGTATTCTCTTTTCCCAGGATGCATTTCTCCGCTGGTTTCACAAGCCCAGGCCCAAGCAAAACGCCAAATAACTAGCTAAGTAGTGACTCAGAGTAGGCAGCGTTTCATGAAGTCAGAGTAGGCTGAAGGGCTCTGAGGATAACTCCACAGTTACTGTTTTACTGTCGGGGAGTGTGGAAAACTCCAGCGCCAAGAGCAGGAGGAAGTGGGCCGGGTTCCTGGTTTGCTTAAGGTCGGAGAGAAGAGGGAGCTTCCTGACATGAGACTGTTACGTGGGTTTTCACCTTTTCAACTGCAAGCACTTTAGGCCTCAGGTCAGACAGGGGCACGAGGCAGGTGGTCTAGGATCAGTGTGGGGCGGGGCCACGTCGCCAGGGGAGGTCCCCTCCATCCTGTCACTCAGGGATCTGACCTCATTCCACTAACGAGTGTGTGCAGACCACAGCCTGGCTCAGAGTTCTTCTGTGTGTCCTGTGTAGTGAAGACAAAGTTCTGAAGTTGAACGCCTTGAGGTACGGGACGCGCCCTCAATTCAACACTGGAGCCATCCCTGGCGAGTGCTTGGACCTGCTGCCTCCCCCAGTTCTCAGAGCAACCTGGTCCTGAAGCCTTTTGAGTATGAGACATCTTGCTAGCCTGACCCCTACATTGGGACTGAAAGCATTTTACCAGCCCTGGGCAAGTGACATGGAGAGGCCCAGGTGAGCTACCATCACCTATGTTTTCTTTTATTATTATTTTTATTGATTTTTAGAGAGAGAGAGAGGAAGGGAGAGGGAGAGAGAAAAACATTGATGTGAGAGCGGAACATTGATTAGCTGCCTCCTATACCCCCTTCTCCTCGGGTAACTCCCTTCCCTCCCCGCCCCCCACACTGGGGGTTGAGCCCCTGCATGTGCCCTGACCGGAATTGAACCAGCAGCCTTTTGGTGCATGGGACGATGCCCAACCCATTGAGCACACCAGCCAGGGCCCATCACCTGTGTTTTGAAGCTCGGCCAGACAGGTGAGTATAGCCAACCCAGCGTCAGCCCAGCCCCACCTACCTCTTCATAGCTCCTTGACAGAAAGCCAAGCTCTTCTTTCAGGCTTTCTATTTGACTTTCCAGATCCATTGTTGTCAAATTAGCTTCATCGATGACTTTATAGAGAGAGTTAATTTCCTCTTCCGCGGCCTTTCTAAATGGCTGCTCATTTTCATATCTGCAGATAAAGGAACTTAATCAGCATAGCTAGGCGACCGAAAAGAGAAAATAATCTATATATATAAAAGGCTAAGTGTTCGTCTGACTGGTAGCTATGACGTGCACTGACCACCAGGGGACAGACGCTCAATGAAGGAGCTGCCGTGACCCACACTGGCCATTTAAAAATAAACGGTACCAC